GAGTGAGAAAAAGTTGACTTAAAACTCAACATTCAGAAAACTAAGATCATGGCATCCGATCCCATCACTTCATGGCAAATGGATGGGGAAACAATGGAAACAGTGACAGATTTTGTTTTTGGGCTCCAAAGTCACTCAAGATGGTGACTGCAGCCATGAAATTAAAAGACACTTGCTCCTTGGAAGAAAAGTTTTGACCAACCTAGACAGCATATTAAAAAGCAGAGACATTACTTTGGCAACAAAGGTCTGTCTAGTCAAAGTTATGGTTTTTCCAGTAGTTATGTATAGATGTGAGAGTTGGACTATAAAGAAAACTGAGCGCCAAAGAATTTATGCTTTTGAACTTTTGTGTTGGAGAAGACTCTTGAGAGTCCCTTGAACCTACAAGGAAATGCAACCCGTCCATCCTAATGGAAATCAGTCCTGACTATTCATTGGAAGGACTCATGCTGAAGCTGAAACTCCAATAACTTTGGCCGCCTGATGGGAAGAACTGACTCATTTGAAAAGACCCTGATGCTGGGAAAGATTGAAGGCGGGAGAAGGGGAGGACAGAGGATGAGATGGTTGGATGGCATTACGGACTCAAAGGACATGAGTTTGAGTAAGCTCCGGGAGTTGGTGATGGACAGGGAAGTCTGGAGTGCTGCAGTCCATGGGGTCGCAAAGAGTCGGACACGACTGAGCGACTGAACTGAACTGAGCCACCAGGGAAGCCCTCAAGGTGTTTTTAAAAGAAATAATTCAGTTATTAGTTGTAATCTTACTCTGATCAGTTCCTTCCACTGTGAGTTAAAACCCTTTTCAACCTTTGGACTAACAGTATTATGGGAGATGTCTTGGTTCTCAGGGACTAGCTATGTGAGAAATTACAAGAAACTGCTATTTCTTAGCTGCGGGTGATCTCAGTGCTTGTGGATATTTTTCAAGGTGTTTGCAGGGATGGTCTTACTGTTTTTGTTTGCTGTGTATGGTACAAAGACCTTGCTTTCAGTGGCAGAATTAAGGACACAGGGAACAAGTCCTTGGATCTGTTTACTTCTCCATTACCTGGGAAGAAGAATGGTGTTGCCTTGACCTCTCTCCCGGGTTGTAACTGTAGCTGTTTTGTGCACGGTGGTGAGTTGGCACATTAGCTCTGAGCCCCGGGGGTGCCAGGCCAATGCTGAATAACTGATCAGGGCTGCCTGCAGCACTGTTTTCAAATGACTCAGACTGGGGCTCATCACAGAAGAAAACTATGATTGATAAGTGCAGTCTGCTGTGGGCAGGGAAGGGTAAACTCTACTGAATGAGCCAGGAAGTTTCCGTTCCGTATATATTGACTGCCAGGGAATGGCTTGACCTTGCGGCTTCAGTTTTGATCTTCCCCAGGTATGGCGATCATTTATTATAAGTGGAATGCTTTAGACACAAATAATCTAACTTTCCTCACCATTCCTAATGAAGTTAAATTGATTTTATTATTCCCCAATAAGATCACATTTAGCCTGTTATCATTGGTGGGTTATTCTTCTTAGCCCACATTTGAGAATAAAAACTATTATTAGGTGGTGAAGATAAAGTGGTAAATTATATTCACATTTCCTAAATTTAGGAAAGTAATGCAGAACTCTTACACACACACATTCTCTCGCTCTTTTAAAAAATGTCCCTGTATGCATTTTACTTTACCCTTTGCTGTTATTTTTTTCAATCTAAAGAGATTTCTAGGTGTTTTTCAGTCTAGAATAAAATTATCAGAGTGCATGAGTGTGTATAGACTAGGTTACAAGACAGATTGTATTTCTTGTGGATCATGATCAAAACAATTTGAAAGTCACAATTCAGACTTTATTTACTTTATAATCGCAGAGCCTTAGGGGAGAGGAGTGGTTTCTTGCTGCTTTATGGACTGGGCAGATAGCATATGTCTCAGTCACATCAAATCCATGCATGGCTTTATTTTGGTTGTTCCAAAGCTTTGGAGGCATGAGTTTGGACAGGAGTGGTAAGCCAGGTCTGTTTAAAATGCATTCCACACATACAAGATACGAAACCTTGAGCAGTTACCTTCATGAAGGCCCAGGTGATCATGGACCAATCCCCTGGAACAAGTGAAATGGCCTTAGTGCCCCACCCAGGAGAAAACTGCTCTGTTGCCTTAGCAAAAGTTAAGGCATGAACACATATTATTCTGCCTGACCTGTGTCCAGGGGTGTGGTCCATCCCCAGTTCCTTGAACCGCAAAGAAAACTTAATTACATTTTACATTCCAGTATACAATGCTGCTGCTAAGTCACTTTAGTCGTGTCTGACTCTGTGCGACCCCTGAGACAACAGCCCACCAGGCTCCCCCGTCCCTGGGATTCTCCAGGCAAGAACCCTGGAGTGAGCTGCCATTTCCTTCTCCAGTGCATGAAAGTGAGAATTGAAAGTGAAGTCGCTCAGTTGTGTCCAACTCTTAGCGACCCCATGGACTGCAGCCTACCAGGCTCCTCCGTCCACGGGATTTTCCAGGCAAGAGTACTTAGGCGCAGACAAATACTATTCGATTCCACTTGTACAGGATACCTAGAGGAGACAAATTCACAGAGTCAGAGTACAGTGGCAGATGCCAGATGCTGAAGGTTGCTGGGTGGGGCTATTAGTGTTTCCGGGGGGCAGAGTTTCAGATTAGGAAGGTGAAAAATTCGGGAGATGTTTTATATTATGTGACCTTTCCTACAATAAAAAACATTAACAACTTTTAAAACTTACATTTCATAGTCACTTGTGACTCCAGGGTTCCCACAGCCACAGCCATCTTCAGAGGTTCCCAGCCGCCCAAAGAGGAGTGATCCTAGTGTTTTCACTACTCAGACCCAGGCAGCCAGAGGGCATTTTGGGGTGATCATCCCGAGTAACAAAAGCTCCCAATCTGACTCGTGTAGAGGAGCAGCAGTGATGTCAAAAGGGCCAAGGAGCACAGGCCACTTTGCTGGCAGAGCCTGGCTTCCTGTTTCTCTTCCGGCTGCAAGCGGGAGGTCAGGATCTGGATTAATAAGGGGGTGGCAGGAGGGGCTGCCTGGGGAGGCTTGGAAAGTTCGGGGGGGGCCCCTGAGGTCTGTCATCAGTCTCCCTGTGTCAGTGTAAGAACAGTGAGTGAGTTCTTGTTTGAATGAGGTGATGCGCTCAGTCCAGCCTGACTCTCCGTGACCCTATGGACTGTAGCCCACCAGGCTCCTCTCTGTCCACGGGATTTCCCAGGCAGGAATACTGGAGCGGGTTATCATTTCCTCCTCCTCCAGGGGATCTTCCCGAGCCAAGGATTGAACCCGCGTCTCCTGCATTGGCAGGCGGATCCTTTGCCACTGGGCCACCAGGGAAGCAATGATGTGGTGAGGAAGCACATAAAGAGGAAATGCACTTTGGGAGTTTTAAGGGATGAGAGAAGTGAAGTCGCTCAGTCATGTCAGACTCTTTGCGACGCCATGGACTGTAGCCTACCAGGCTTCTCAGTCCATGGAAATTTTCCAAGCAAGAGGGGTCAGATGCCTAGCTCTCCTGCAGCCTGGCAGGATCCGGAGAGGAGCCCTGTCCTGTGGGGAAGGCCTCCAATGGGGAGTCTGGGATAAATCTCGGTGCTTTTGTTCCCCCTCAACTTCAGCCAACTATATTCTTCTTGCCAAGCATCCACTTACTATCACTGGCAAGATTTTCAGGGTACACAGGGCACGAGTCTCTTGCAGGAAAATCTTCTAACAGTGGACATACGTTCATATTTCATAGGCTGTGAATACATCGTCTAACAGTGGACATACGTTCATATTTCATAGGCTGTGAATACATCTTTAGTAATACATCTTTAGAGTGCTGAGCGGGTTGCCATTTCCTTCTCCACCTTTCCTGGTGGTGGCTCTCAGTTACATGAGTCAACGAAGGAGTTGGTGCTTGACTGAGCTTTTTTTTTTTTTTTAAGCTTTTTAAATTGCAGTAGGAAGTACAGGCTTGCCTGGTGGCTCAGTGGTACAGAATCCACCTGGAGATGCAAGAGACGTGGGTTCGATCCCCGGGTCGGGCAGATCCCCTGGAGAAGGAAATGGCAACCCACTCTGGTACTCTTGCCTGGAGAATCCCATGGACGGAGGAGCCTGGTGGACTACAGTTCATAGGGTCGCGAGAGTCGGACACGACTGAGCGTGCACGCACGGGACAGGCTATAGTATAGCTGAGTAGCTGATTCAGTGTTTCAGGCGTCCTGCTTCAGTTTCATGTGTATTTCTTTTCTACTATAGGTTATAACAGGATATTGAAATCCAGTTCCCTGGGCTCTAAAGTAGGTCCTTGTTATTTTATAAGTATATAGCAGCGTGCATCTGTTAATCCCCCTCCCCGACCCCTTCCGTTTGGCAGGTTTGCTTTCCATCCCAGGCCCTCTGTGCAGCTGCCTCTGCGGTGCGCGGGGGTCCGTAGAGGGGCCGGAGCTCTGGGCTCTGCATTTGTGCAGAGAGGAGGCAGATGTGGGAGAACCGGCTCTCCCACCTCGGCCCCACCTGTGCGGGCGCTCACACCCGTGCTCTGGTCCCTTCTACTCCCCTAGAGGGCTTCCTCGCCAGTTTTCTGCACTTTCTCTACCGTGGAACTAGTTCCTTTCCTCTGCTGGTTCTTTTTTCTCTAGCATGTGCAACGATCTTTGAAAGCAGTTTAACCTGTCCCTTCTTCCCAAGTCCGACAAGGTAGACAGGTGCTACCTAGACTCCTCATGTTATAGACGGGGCAACCGGTCCAGAGAGGTTTACGTGTGAACACATAGCACGGGGGTGCTCTAGAGAAAGGATTCACCACCACCCCGGGCTGCTCTCGGAAATCAGCTGTGTGAAGAACTGCAGCTGTGAATCAACCTTTGAGCAGTTTTTTTTTTTTTGGGGGGGGGAGGGGGGAGCGGTATGTAACATTGATTAAGAAAACTTGGTCATCATAAAATACAGGTGAGAAAATGGACTGTTTTCTTGAAAAATTGACCACAGACAGGCACGTTGGTAGCTAAATATTTTTATTTCACATCTGGATTCAGTTTCACATGTATTTGCATAAATAATTTAAAAATGATCTCTAATGATTAACTATGCACAACTGCAAACTAGTTCAAGGGGTCCCACTATCATTCTCCACTCACAACACAACCCTCACTCTGTCATAGCACCAGAGAGGAGAGAGAGGCTGGTCTCTTTCTTTACAGCAACACTGAGTTTGCGTTATGTAAAGCAGCTGGGTGGGTTCTACTTGTTTTAAATTTTAGTAGTCAGGCTAGTGATTTTTTATTTATCATTAAAAGATAATACCCCAAACTGTTAAGGTCAGAATAAAATGGTGCGGTTCTAGCATCCCAAGCTAGAAGGAGTTATTTTTTCAGTGAGAGGGAATCCACATGACTGAGAGAGCTAATGTTATTAGACAGAAGCAAGCATTAAAGGATCGACAGGAGGAGGTGCATGTGCTGGACACTACAGAACCTCAGAGCTTTCTCAGCTTCAAAATTACAAACTGTTTTCTGGGGGTACATGGCGTGATTAATGAGTAATCAGGACTGAATTTTAGAGTGAGATGATCCATGTTAGTTTTCCAACTGAATCTAATAGAGCATATTTACTTTAACAATGATTCCCCACCACCCCTATCACAGTAAAACTGAAATTTGTCATTTATAGTGTTACATGAATGATCAAAACATGACAGTCTTTAAAACTAGCGGGCTTCCCAGGGGACAGGTTTAGAGTCCTGCCAGCCAAGGTGGACTGTTCTTGTTGAGCATGATGTCGTTGGCAAACGAGGTATGTCGGAGGCACAGCGACGGAGGTCAGCACTGGTCAGTTTTTGATGGCCATGGTCCAGAGCAGGGGACGGTCGGTCTCCACAGTCACAACACCAGATCCGTCGTAGGTGTTGGAAGTGCTCACTAGTGTTCCAAAACCAAGCATCTGATGTGCTGTAAGAACGTAAGAACACAAAAGGTTTGGTGACAGCCAACATCACTCCAGTGTAGAATGACTTTGTTGAGAATTACCAAAACACAATTAAGCACACACTTGGAATTAACAGATGATCTATAGGTGAGGTTCTAAAGCTGAAAGTTTCTGTAACTTGCTATGACCACTCCTCCTAGAGTTGGCTACAGGTTATTTATCCGTTTGGGGTATATGTCAGTCTTAACACTAAATTTCAGTTAAGTGTTTTCTTTTTCTTCTTTACCAATTGTAAAACCAACATCCATTTCTGTAATAGGTTACTTACTTCCTTGCCTGGGTGCAATTTTAATTTTTTTGATAATTCAGAATTAACATTTTAATATTTAATTAAGCTCTATAAAAAGGCAGTTTTAGTTAAGAGTATAAATGATATGGGACAGAAAGCTAATTACTTAAAAAAAAAACAGTATAGGATTTTGGTCATTTTTTTCCTCATAAAGAAAGAGAAGCCAGTGTGAACAAGGCTCACTTTCTGTAAAATTACTTGGAACTCAGAGGTCAAAAAGCAGAATTTCAGGTCATTACTTAATTGTCAAAATAAAGGTTTTGGAGTTAAGTTGTATTATTAAAATGTATATATTTATAAATTACATAAATCTGTACACAAGTGTGTATATATATATATATATATTTCCTAACAAAAGTTTGCTGAAGTTAACATGTAGGAATCCATAGGTAACCTCATTTCTCTTTGCTTATAAAAGAGCAATTCACATTATCGACATGACTTTAAATCATGACTGTCCTATTGTCCTGTCAACATGCCCTGATATAATCAGAAGAAATCAGAAAGGGGAAAATAAATGTTATGCAGAGAAGTAAACAAATGTCAGGAGCTAGAAAAGGCCTCTATTCCTTCCAACAAAGTGCAACTATGAAGTTACACAGCTTTGAAGTAAATAAAATAATTCAATTATAATGGTCACTCCCCGCTAGAGGGAGCCTGTTATCTTTCTGAGGAAATCTTGAAAAGGCAATTTAAAAATTCAGAAACAGTATTATAGGATAATATATCATCAGTATTACCAGTTCACACAGTTTACTTATTAAAAGTCAAACTATTTCTTTTTCATAGTTGTCAACACGTTTACTAATGCAAACAGGAAGTTACAAAGTGAAACTGCAGGAATGCAGAGTCAACCTCATGTGACTGCTGCCCTAAGAGGCAATTCAGTGTTTTTGCCTCTCCGGTAATAAACTGTGGGAAATTCTGAAAGAGATGGGAATACCAGACCACCTGACTTGCCTCTTGAGAAACCAGTATGCAGGTCAGGAAGCAACAGTTAGAACTGGACATGGAACAACAGACTGGTTCCAAATAGGNGGCATCACCAACTCAATGGACATGAGTTTGAGTCAACTCCGGGAGTTGGTGATGGGCACGGAGGCCTGGCATGCTGCGATTCATGGGGTCGCAAAGAGTTGGACACGACTGAGCGACTGAACAGAACTGAACTGAATCTGGAGCTTTTCTTAGATGAGGTTTCTGAATGATATGAATAAGCATGTCCATTAAATTTATAAATCCAGGCATAATTACATATACAGAGAGTTAGGGTGATGTTGTGGAGGGAGTCACAGGAAGTCTGTTAAGGAAAGAAGCCTTGTTCTCCTAAAGGTTGGGGAATGGTTCATACATTTCATACCATTTATTCAGAAAGGCAATTTAGGGGGCTTCAGAGGACTAGCTTTAGAGTTGGAAACTCCCCATTGAAGCACTGGGTACACACAACCCACCTGGAATCGACACAGTGCATTTAAGATTCTGGTGACTAATTAGGTTAAAATCCTATTTTGACCTGGGCTGAAAGAACAAGAGTACAAAATTACTTCTCTAGTTTGCTGCTGCACACACATTCCTTTCTGATTTTCTGAAGGCAGAGTAGGGACTTTGGATTATCCTGGGTAGACAACTATATTATATATATTGGTTTTTCTAAGACACTGTTGCATCCTAAATAGTTTTTAAATAGGACTTTGCATGAAATATTTGAGTTAAGGCCATTTTTATCCAATCTTATAAATCATGTTTTCTTTTTTTGTGTGCGTGCAATGTTTAAAATTCCACCAGGATCAGTTATTAAACTACATGTTTTAGTTGGTTTTGGGTGCTATAACAAAATGCATAGGATGAGTGGCTTAAATAGCAGACATGATTTCTCGCAATTCAGGAGCTTGGAAAGTCCCAGATCAGGGTACCAGCATGGCTGGTTCTGGTAAGACTTCTTCCTGGCTGGTTTACAGACAGCTGCCTTCCTGCTGTATCTTCACACAGTGGAGAAGTCTCCTACCTCTTCCTCTTTTTATAAGGGTGCTAATCCCATCATGAGGGCTCTCATTATCTCCCAAAGGCTCCAGCTCCAAATACTGTCACGTTGGGGATTATGCTTCAATATATGAATTTAGGACACAAACACTCGGTCCGTAACAATGGTTACAATTAATGGAAAGGTTACAATGAAATTCATTTGTCTCCACCTCTATTGAAAGTAGAATAAAAAAGATAGAAAACAAAGATAAATAAACTGAAAACAGGAAATCATGAAATCCAGTTTACTCTGGATTGTTTATTTTGGGGTATGCTTTTTCCAAAGAATTATGCTTTTAGACAAGACATTCAAGTATCTTTTAGAAGAAAAATTTTGAATAAAGTATTTGAAATTAATACTGAGTTCCCCTCTTCCCAAATGTGTGAGGGTCAATCATGAAATAAAATACGTAAGATTGGCAGAGAAAGAACTTCCTGTAGACAGCAGTAAAACAAATTTTTATTATTTTTTCCTCTAGTTTTAAGGTAATTGACATATTATACTGTATAAATTTAAGATGTATAGCACATATAATGACCTATGCATATAGAATGAAATGATTTACAAAATTAGTTAACATCCATTACTCTATATAATTACCCTTTTTTCCTAGTGATGAGAACTTTATAGTGTCTGTCCTCTTACCACCTTTCAAATGCACCACACAGCATTGGCAGGGATTCTCACCATATTGTACATTATAGAGCCAGTACTTATTTATCTTATAACTGGAAGTCTGTATCTTCTGACCCGTTTCATCTCATTCTCTCTACTCTCTGCCTCTGGCAATCACAAATTTGATATTTTTCCTATGAATTTGAGTCTTTCAGATACCATGTATAAGTGAGATCATACAGTATTTGTCTTTCTTATTTCACTTAGCATAATACCCTCAAGGTCTGTTCATACTGTTGCAAATGGCAAGGTTTCCTTTTTATGGCTGAATAGTACTCCACTGTCTATACACCACATTTTCTTTATCTGTCTGTTGATGGAAACTTAGGTTGTTTCCATATCTTAGCTACTGTAAGTAATGCTGTAATGAAGATAGGAGTGCAGTTATCTTTGGACGTAGGGATTTTGCTTCCTTTGGATATACACCCAGAAGTGGGATTGTTGGTAATATGGTAGATTTATGTTTAATTTTGAGAAACCTCCATACTATTTTCCATGGTGGCTGTACCAATTTACATTCCCACTAACAGTGCACAAAGGTTCCTCTCTTTCCATGTCATCTCCAAAATTTGTTCTCTCGTCTTTTTGATGACAGCCTGTCTAATAGGCATAAGGTGATATTAGAGTGGTTTTTAGTTAATTTCCCTGATTAGTGATGTAAACTACCCTTTTCATATATCTATTGGCCCTCCCTATGTCTTCTTGGAAAAATGTTTATTCAGGTCCTTTGACCATCGGTTTTTTTCAGTTCTAGGAGTTCTTTATATATTTTGAATATTAACCCCTTCTCAGTATTATTTGCAAATATCTAATCCCATTGCTTTGGTTGTCTTTTTGTTTTGTATTCTTTTGCTGTGCAGAAGCTTTTTCGTTTGATATAGTCCCACTTGTTTTTTAATTTGCTGCTTGTGCTTTAGATATCATATGCAAAAATCATTGCCAAGACCCATGTCAGGAAGCATTATTCCTGTTTTCTTCCAGGAGTTTTACAGTTTTATTTAATGTCTTAATCCTTTACGAGCTAATTTTAGGTGAGTGATGTAAAAATAGGGTCTAATTTCACTCTTTTACATGTGAGTATCCAATTTCCCAGCACCATTTATTAGACAGTTGTTCTCCATTGAGTATTCTTGGCTCTCTTTTTGTATTAGCACGCTGTATATGCATTGGTTCTCAACCCTGCTTCAGTGGTTCATGTGTCTGTCCTCACACCAGGAGCGTGTCCGTGGCTCAGGTGTCTGTTCTCACACCTGTAGAGTGATGCTTTTATTGCTTCCCTGGTGGCTCAGATGGTAAAGAATCCGTCTGCGATGCAGGAGATCTGTTTCGATCCCTGGGTTGGGAAGATCCCCCGGAGGAGGGCATGGCAACCCACTCCAGTGTTCTCACCTGGAGAATCCCCATGAACAGAGGAGCCTGGCAGGCTGCTTGTCCATGGGGTCGCAAAGAGTTGAACACTGAGTGACTAAGCACAATGCTTTTATTGTTCTATCTTTATATAGTCTAGTTTGAATTCAGGAAATTGTTTTTTTCTCAGTATTGATTTGGCTATTCAGGGTTTTTTGTAGTTTCATATGAATTTTAGGATTTTTTTCTTCTTCTGTAAAAATGCCATTGGAATCTTGATGGGGATTGACTCTATAGGTGGCTTTGAGTGGTACAGATATTTTAACAATATTCTTTCAATTCATGAGCATGGAGTGTCTTTTCATTTATTTTACTCTTCAATTTCTTTCATCAATGTATTATAGTTTTCAATGTAGAGATCTTTCATTGCCTTTGTTAAATTTATTGCTAAGTATTTTACTGTTCTTGATACTATTGTAAATGAGAGTTTTTTTTCCAGATAATTCATTGTTAGTATATAGAAATATTTTTGATTTATGTATCTTGAATTTCATATACTGCAACTTTACTAAATTCATTGATCTAACAGTTTTTTGATTGTTTAGGCTTTTTTATACATAAAATCATGT